TGTTTAGAGTAAGGTTTACTCATTCCCTCTCACCTCCCCCCTCTCCCCTCTACACTGTTAAAACCTTTTTTTTGCCTCTTTTATGTGAGATAATTTACCCCATTCTACCCCTCCCTTTACCTTTTTCCTAGTGGATTCCTCTTTCTCACCCCTAAATTTTTTTTTTTAGATATCATCTCTTCATATTCAACTCACACCTGTGCCCTCTGTCTATATATACTAACTGCCCTAATAACTAGAAAGTTTTTATAGGTTACAAGTATCGTCTTCCCATGTAGAAGTGTAAACAGTTTAACCTTATTAAGTCCCTTATGATTTCCCTTTCCTGCTTACCCTTTTATGCTTCTTGAGTCTTGTATTTGAAGGTCAAATTTTATATTCAGCTCAGGTTTTTTCATCAAAAATGCTTCAAAGTCTTCTGTATCATTGAGTGTCTATTTTTTCTTTTTTTTTTATTAATTTATTTTTATTTTTCAACATTCACTTCCATAAGATTTTGAGTTTTAAATTTTCTCCCTCTCCCTCCCCTTCTTCCTCCCCAAGACGGCATGCAATCTGATATAGGCTTCACCTATATGAATGTCCATTTTTTTCATCTGAAGGATTATCCTCAGTTTTGCTGGGTAGATGATTCTTGGTTTTAATCCTTACTCCTTTGACCTCTGGAATATGTTCCAAGCCCTCTGATGCTTTAATGTAGAAGCTGCTAAATCTGTTATCCTGAATGTGGCTCTATTATATTTGAATTGTTTCTGGCTGCTTGCAATATTTTCTCCTTGACCTGGTTATAACATTCCTTGGAGTTTTCATTTTGGGATCCCTTTCAATAGGTAATCTGTGGATTCTTTCAATTTTCTATTTTGCCCTCTGGTTCTAGAATACCAGGGCAGTTTTCCTTGATAATTTCTTGAAAGGTGATGTCTAGGCTCTTTTTTTTGATCATGGCTTTTAGGTAGTCCAGTAATTTTTAAATTATCTCAATCCTGTATCTGTTTTTTCCAGGTCAGTTGTTTTTCCAGTGAGATATTTCATATTGTCTTCTGTTTTTTCATTCTTTTGGTTTTGTTTTATTGTTTCTTGGTTTCTCATAAAGTCATTAGCTTCCAGCTCAATTCTAATTTTTTTAAATTAAAAAAACTTTTTAAATTTATTTTGAATTATCAACAATCACTTCCATAAGCTTTTGATTTTTAAATTTTTTCCCCCTCCCTCTTCAAGACGGCATGCAGTCTGATGTAGGCTATACTTATATATATTCCTATTAAGCATATTTTCACATTAGTGATGTTGTAGGTAAGAATTAGAACCAGTAGGAGGAACCACCAGAAAGAGGAAACAAAACACTACGGAAGAAAAAAATAGCAAATAGTATGCTTTGATCTGCATTCAAACTTTATAATTCTTTGGTTGTGGAGAACGTTTTCCATCATGAGGCCTTTGGAGAAGTCTTAGATCCTTGTATTGCTGAGAAGGGTTAAATTAAGTCTATTAATATTAGTCATAGCACGATGTGGCTATTATTGTATACAACGTTCTCCTGGTTCTGCTCGCTTCACTCAGCATCAGACCATACAGATCTTTCCAGGTTTTTCTGAAGTCAGCCTGTTCATCATTTTTTATAGCACAATAGTATTTCATTACATTCATATACCACAACTTGTTCAGCCATTCCCCAATTGATGGGCATCCTCTCAATTTCCAGTTCTTTGCCACCACAAAAAGAGCTGCTATAAATATTTTTGTACATATAGGTCCTTTTCCCATTTGTATGATCTCTCTGAATATAGCCCTAGAAGTGCTATTGCTGGGTCAAAGGGTATGCACATTTTTAGAGCCTGTTGGGCATAGTTCCACATTGCTGTCTAAAATGGTTGGATCATTTCGTAACTCTACCAACAATGCATTAGTGTTCCAATTTTCCCACATCTTCTCCAACATTTATCATTTTCCTGTTTTGTCATGTTGGCCAATCTAGCAGGTGTGATGTGGTACCTGAGAGTTGTTTTGATTTGCATTTCTTTCTTCAATAGTGACTTAGAGCATTTTTTCATATGAGTATAGATGGCTTTAATTTCTTCATCTGAGAACTGTCTGTTCATATCCTTTGACCATTTATCATCAATTCTAATTTTTAAGGAATTATTTTTCTTTTCAGTGAGCTTTTGGACTTCCTTTTCCATTTCCCCAATTGTACTCTTTAAGGAGTTTTTTTCCTTCAGGAATTTTTGTGCCTCTTTTTCCATTTGGCCAGTTCTGCTTTTCAAGATATTCTTCTCTTCATTGGCTTTTTGTGCTTATACCTTTTGACCTAGTCTGTTTTTTAAGGTGTTATTTTCTTTAGTACTTTTTTGTCTCCTCTACTCAGCTGTTGACTCACTTTTCATGATTTTCTTGCATTACTCTTAATTTGCTTCCTAATTTTTCTTCTGCCTCTCTTACTTGATTTTCAAAACCTTTTTGAGCTCTTCCATGGGCCTGAGACCAATTCATACTTTTCTTGAAGGCTTTGGATATTGGAACTTTGACTTTCTTATCTGCTTCTGAATGTGTGTTTTGATCTTCCTTGTCACCATAATATTTTATTGTTGTTGTTTGTTCCTTTTTCCAGTCTATTTCTTTCCTTTAACTCTTTTTTAAAGTAGGGGCTCTGTTTCCAGGGTGGAGAGTGCACTGTCCCAAGCTTCAGGGGTTTTGTGCAGCTGTTTGCAGAGATACTTCTAGGAACCTGTAAGTTTTAAGTTCTTCCAAGGTGAAATGATCTAAGGAGAGGTGCATTTACTACTCTCCTGGCCTGTGCTCTGGTCTGTGAATGCACTAACACTATTTTCTGCTCTGGAACTGTGAGGAGGGTCCCTGCTCCACTGCAGCCACAAGCTGTGCTGTGCCAGTGCTCCTCCTTGCCCTGGGACTGCCACCCAGGACTGCAACCTAGATCTGAGTATGGGCAGAGCAACAGTCCAGCCTCCAGTGCCAGCAGAGAGACCGCTATAATTTCCTCCTATCAGTTGTTCAACCCCATTACTGTCTGTGGACTAAGAGCTCCAGAAGCAGCTGCTGTTGATTCAGTAGCTCCTTCAAGGCCTGCTCCTGGTTTGCTGGGGTGGCCTGCGCTGGACTGTGCTCCACTCTTACCCAGGTGTGACAGACCTTTCCTGCTGACTTTCTAAGTTGTCTTTGGCTGGAAAGATATTTCACCCTGTTCATTTCTGGGTTCTGCTGCTTCAGAAATTGTTTTATGGCATTATTTAAAGTTGTTCAGAGGAGGTTTGGGGAGAGCTCAGGTGAGTCACTGCCTTTTCTATACCATCTTGGCTCTGCCCTAAATACGAGCTTTTTAGGTGTTATTTAAGGCCTTCTGCAGTTTGGCTCTAATCTACTTTTCCAGACTTACTTTATTCCTCTTAAAGCAGTTTCAGCTGAACTAGACTACTAGCTATTCCCAATTTTGCCTTGATGTGTCTAGTTTCTTGGTATTTGTGCAGACTGTTTCTTATGCTTAGAATGTATTCCTCTTTTATCTCCATTAGCTAAAATATTTTTCTTCCTTTAAGGTTCAACTTGGGTGATAGCTCTTTCTTTATGATTAAGCCTTGCTTTGTGATTCCCTCCTTCCATACCCCCTTCCATCCATCCTCAGCTGAAAGGGTCATTCCTTCCTCAGCTTTTCCTAGAGTATTGCAATCTCTCCATTACTCCTATAATATCTACTTGTGTTAACACTCATTTGTAGATGTGTTGTGTTCCTCTTCCTAGATTGTAAGCTACTTGAGCTTGAATTTTGCCATTTTTTCTTCTTTGTTTCCTCAGTGTCTAGTATGGTGCCTTATAAATAGTAGATAATAGCAGTTTGTTAAATTGAGCTGTCTGGGGAGATCAGGGAAAGCTTAATGGATATACCATTATAATTGTGCTTCAAAGACTAAATTGGTGAGGTGAAAGTCTAAATTTGAGGTAATAATAACATTACTTAGTTAATATACCTCAGCTAGATTTGTTGTTGAGTCATTTCAGTCATATCCGACTCTTTGTGACCCCATTTGGGGTTTTCTTTGGCAAAGATACTGAAGTGGTTTACCATTTCCTTCTCTAGTTCATTTTGTAGATGAAGAACTGAGTAAACAGGGTTAAGTGACTTGCCCAGGGTCACACAGCTAGTAAGTATCTGAGGCCAGATTTGAACTCAGGAAGATGTGTCTTTCTGACTGCAAGCCCAGCACTTTACTCCTTTAAGAAGGGACATGTTAATGTTAAAGTTTTAATGGCAAACAGAAATTTGCAAGGTACACTGAATTGTTATCACCAGATGCTTTCCGTATTTCATGTGTGGGAGGTATTTAAGTTTATCAAGCATTCATTTCTCAAAATTTAGTGCAGTATTAGCAAATCGAATGCTGGCTAATGTTGACATTAACCAGTTATATAGAGATACCAGCAAATTTTTTGTTGCATTTCAGGATTAACATCATATATACATCAGAAATTTAACATGCAAAAGTTGAAAATTTAGATATTGTTTGAATCTTGGAATAGCAAGGAGATGTAATGAAAATGTTATTTAAAATGGATGGAGAATATCTTAAAATTTTGTGGACTTTAGAATTCACAAAATGTTTTCTTCACTGTACCTTGTGCAAGTGTATGTATTACCTACATCTTACAGATAATAACGTCTGGCACTAAGATAGTCTGTTAAGTTTGCAAAGTGCTTTGTATACACCGTCTCATTTGAGCATCACAACATCTCTGTGAGTTAAGTGATACAGGTATTTTCCAGATGAGAAAACAGGGTTAGAGAACAATTTGCCCATAGCCAGTTACCTGATAATTGTCAGAGCTAGGATATTGCACGTCCTCTAACTTCAGCTAAAATACTTTATCCACAGCACCATGCTGTCTCTTTTTCTCTTTTATAACTTGAGTAAATGAAACGCTTCATATTACTTTAGCTTTTGGATAAATTATAAGTTCTTGTCAGATATATTTTCTTTGTTTTTAAACAGTTGTGGACCATGTTTACGGATAGCGCCGGCTTTCAATGCTTTGAGCAATAAGTATCCACAGGCAGTTTTTTTGGAAGTGGATGTACATCAGTGCCAGGTAAGTATAAGTCTGGGATCTTTTTAGTTTCTCAAGGAAATCAGTTTGCTATCCAGCTATATTTTCATTATCCTTCATACTTTACTTTTTCATGACATGTATTCTTTTGAAAATGGATGGAACTGTACATACTAATATTATGTAGTCAAATACAAAGCCTGTAAATATAGCCACATTATTTAAGAAAGTTAGTCTTCATAAACTGTAGTCAGAAGTATCAAGTTTTTGCCTTTTAATTTTATAGCTTTTCTTCTGATGACTGTTTTTGAAACTTGTTAGTAATTATTCTTATGATAATTTGCAAAAGAGCAATGATATTTAAAAAAAATTAAGACATCATCTGGCAAAGCCTGAGGAACATATGTAGCTACATCAGCTATATCAAAGGAGTCTCCTGTTAGGATTGTTTTTATTGAACTGATAACTTTCTTGTGTATCTATGAAGCAAAGACCTTAAGAGATTGGTTGTTCATTGAGTCACTATATATTTGTAGGTGAATAGCTAAATTGAACATGAAAAGCCCAAATGCTTGTGTGACTTATGTATTTGTATTTATAAGAAGCAACACTGAGGGGAAATTCTCTCTGAAAATAGTAAAATGACGTGTTTTGGTTTTCTGGAAGAGAAGCTAGACCCCTTAATCCTAAAAATAAATTTCAGTCTTTAATCTGAAGTATAGATCTATAGCTTCTGGTGGTACAAAAAGCCAATGTTGCTCTTATGTTTTGTGTACATTCCTAGATAGGAGAATTTGATTTGTTTTTAGATATTGGTTTGGTGAATGAAAAGAAAATCAGTCTTGTATTTGTTCAGTACTCATTCCAGGTCTACTTTTTGTTGTCACTATAGGTTTTTGACCCTCAACATTTCATGTCTTAGAAGTAACATTTTTAATAAGCTTAATTCTCAGATAAAACTTTTAAAGTATTTTGTTGCCCAAACCTTTCATTTTTATTTCACAAATAATATGACTCATCTTCACCTTACTTGAGTATGCCATCAGATATCATGAAATCTCAAGGTGACTATCTTTTTAAAACTTTATTTGTTGATATGGTTTTCTTGCTACAAAGAGTCCATACCAAGTACTGTTATAAATTTTGTTAGTTATTATTAGCCCTTTTCCTTCTAGACTATATAGATTGCTACGTTTTATCAGATTATTTTCCAATATCCCTTTTTGACCAAAGTATGCTACATGAGGTAGCATTTTTAGCTATAAAATGAGATTCTCCGTACAGAGTTAACTTGTCAATAGAGTCAGACTGGTCAACTAGTCAAAAGAGCATGCTTCAGTAGTGTGATAGACCTGTGATTTTATAGATGTGGATGCTATCACTAACACTATGCATCACAACAAATTTATACCCTTTAATGATATCAGCTTTGTTTGATGATATGTCCATATTCTTGTGTAAATCATTTTTCATGTTGGGGAATTTCTCTAGCTCTCTAGCTATCATTTGGGTACTAATGTACCATACCATCTTTCCACCTGCCATGTAGTGCTTCCCAGTACCTAAAATAATGGGTATGCCTTTAACCTTGTTTGGAGAGAGCAGCAATGATTTATGGGACTATGGGAAACTCTTAACTTTGGTTTCTCCTAGGAGCAAGCTTCATCTCAGGTAATATTTAGTTCTAAATTGTCTGTTGAAATAAGGGACATTTAATGAAGTCTAATCTTTTGTATACATGTTTTTAGTTCTTGCTAATTAAGCTTTTTGCACTTATAAAGAAGGTAATATGAATACTGAATAATTTTTAGGATTTCTTTTAATTCATAACACTGTCTAACTTGTGAATTCTAGGGAACAGCTGCCACCAACAATATATCAGCAACACCCACATTTCTCTTTTTTCGAAACAAAGTGCGAATCGACCAGTATCAAGGAGCAGATGCTGTGGGATTAGAAGAAAAAATTAAGCAACACTTAGAAAACGACCCTGGAAACAATGAAGACACAGATATCCCCAAAGGCTATGTATGTAGTTATGAAAAAAATCATAGTTATATTAGTTCAAGGTAGAAATGCATATTTTAGTACTTTAAATCACAGCTAATTTTAAACTATTCATACTGTAGAGACTTTAAATATTTATTTGGCTTGTTTTTCATAATTTAATTTTCTTTCAAAGAAGTATTTTGAAAGTAAATTTATTGAGAGAATATTGGCGTATTCATATATTTGGTAAGGTAACCATTTTTCTTGCTGAGTTGTTGGATGTTCTGGCATTTGTTATTGCTACTTTTAACTATTTTTTTAATACCCATTTTTCTTAACACTTGTTTTACACATATTTTTTCATAATAAGTGAAGAAATATGCCTTGGAAAGTAAATGTTCCCACTTCTTGACAGTTGTGTAAAATAACTTGTAAATTTTAATGTGCAACCATTACATACTGAACTACTTGCACTGCTGTTTTCCTCCTGAAATTTTCTCTCCTTTTAAATATCTTCCCTTTTCTTTTTGTCATATCATTTAAAAAAAAAAGAGAGAATCTAGCTATCCTTTAGTTCTACACCTAATTGGTAGGACAAAGCAGTTGATCATCAGCACTTAATAGTTATAAATCCCTTTAAGTATTAGATAAAAAACTTGATATATTATGCTTAGCCATTCAGTACATGTGCCAGGCAGATAAAGGTTTCTCAGAGTTTGACATAATTAAAAAATGAAAATAACAGATTATAGCATGTAACTTAGAATGCATCATCTTTACCTAATTTCCCTCACCTGGCAAAGAAGTGAGTACTAGTTTTCTCTTAATACATTTGTTGCAAGGTATGCTTATGGATTCTGAACCACATTAACTTTAATGCTTTGAATTGCTATCTTTACTATTAATTTTTCATTGCTTTTGTCACAAATTGCATTATTGCTACATCAGAATTAAAATATTAATTTAAAATAAAAATATCAATTTAGAACTAATGATTACAGTTAAGGTTAATATAGTAACATAAGTAAATGCTTAATAAACAGAAAATGTGTTTGTATTAAGTATTTTTTATTGTTTTAAAATACCATAGGTGATAACTATGTGCTTTCTCCTATATTACAATTCATGCTTGTTTAAAATAAAACATGTACTATTACTGTGAAGTTGTATAATGTATGGATTGGCATGAATGGTTGTTTTATAAGTCAGGGTTGTGACACCTTTTGGAAAATTTTGGAAAGCATCTTAGTTGTAAACTGTGTTTACATCTTTTATTTTTCTTCCCTTATTACTAAGGGTGTTTGCATGGAAAAGTCTTATGAGCTCCACAGTCCTGCTGCTTAGCCACAGGGATACTTCCTTACACATCAGCTAATTGTGATATCAGTATTTTGACTTCAGGTAGGAAATAAGCAGGAAAAAATCAAGTTTAAAGAATTAGAAATTTTATTTTCATGCAAATGTTATGGATAAAATGTGAAAAGCCTTTAAAAATGTTTTCATTTTTTTCCATGAGGTGTCAAATACATATAAAAACTTGAATTATTTAGGCCAGTAGGGTAAAATTGCAACCAAGAACTCCATTGACTCTGCCAACACAAATGTAACAGACCTAATGAGATAACGCTTACTAAGCAAAAATCTGTATGTTAAGAAAAATTTAAGTGTATGTGTAACAAATGCTGAGGATTAATGAAATAGCAATTTAAGAGGCCCTGGATTCCTAGGAACCTTGATTTTTTGTCTCAAATCTAACAAGTCTAACAAAAGGTGATAGAATAACATACTCCCAAAGATTAAGAAATACTGCCTAGAAGAATTTAGTGTAAGAATTCATTGTCTTCCCCCTCTATTCCCCTCCCAAAAAAAGGTGATTTAGTCATTGGCAGTATTTAAGACTGCCCTTTCCTTTGCCTCATGCCTCTTTCTGTTTTTGGAGTTTGAGTGGTTGTTGTTCAGTCTCTTTTTAGTCAGATATGACTCTTTGTGACCCCATTTGGGGTTTTCTTAGTGAAGATACTTGAGTGGTTTGCCATTTCCTTCTCCAGCTCATTTTACAGATAAGGAAACTGAGGCAGTCAGGGTTAAGTGACTTGCCTAGGGCCACACAGCTAGTAAGTGTCTGAGATCGGATTTGAACACAGGAAGATGAGTGTTGCTGGCGCTCTATCCACTGCTTTATAATTAACAAAATATTTCTACAAAGTAGCTCCTTGAGGGTAGGTACCACAAGAATATTTTCTCATTTCACAGATGTAGAGATTGAGTTTGAGTTCAAGATCATATAGATAATGAGTAACACAGGATTTGAACTTGAGTCTTCAGTTAAGTGCAGTGCTCTTGCTTCTGTTTTCTATCAGTGATGTCAAACTCAAATATTCCTGTGGTCATATATTGACTTAGAAAACCACAGATTAACATTGTCTATGTTGTACTGTATTTTTGTTTATTTTGTTAAATATTTCCCAATTACATTTTAATCTGGTTGAGGCAATAGGAGTTTTGAAGCCACATGCAACCCAGCTGGGTGTTTGACACCTTTGTTTTATGTCATGCTGCCATTGATATCACTGCTAATTAGGATATAATAGTCCCTTTTATGATTTCTGGTGTCCCTGGCTTCTGAGGGACTTTATGGTTTGACAGGATGATTTAAATTCAGCATGCCTTTGAATATTTTGCAACCATTGAGGAACTTGAATTCTGAGTGTTATCTTTCCTCCTCAAATAGAAGTTCAGATCCATAACATTGACTTAAATGTGTTACTACATTAGAGATATTGTCACCTGTAACACTATTTAAAAGCCAAATCCAGTCATCAGGTGTTTAGTACTGCTAGTTGAGTTTAAGTACATAGGAGGCCTCCTGTTTGAGCATTTGGTAAAACTTTAGCGTGTAGGAAAAATATTTGGCTATTAACTCCTGAAAAATCTCACTGACTTCCTTTTATACCTCATAGAGACCATTGAAAAGTAGGAGTAAAGTCCATCGTTTAAACATCGCATCACACAACTCAGGTAGCATTATGTTAACTAAGTCAGCCAATCTACTATTGTAGATACTTGTTTTGAGGTTGAGGATAGTATTAGGAAAGGAAGCATAATGTACTTTTGAGAGTCCTGGAAACAGAACAGTAGTATGAACGAGATTCTGTTTCTATTTCCATGTTCTAGTTCCGGATCTGACTTATTGGTCATGTACTAAGTCAAACATTTGAGTCTGATTCCTCATATGTGAAATGGGAAGGATAGTACCTAATCTCCCTGCCTCAAAGATTATTGTTACTGTTCAGAAGAGATAATGTATCTTTGAAAATGCTTAAGATTTATGTTGTTACTGGTTTTGTTGTGCTTCCAAACATAAAGTGCTATTTCAGAAATAAAAATTATAAAAAATAAATGCCAAATAGATAAATACAAGCTGTCCCAGAAGTCTTAGTGCAGTTTCCATGGTTCTGAAGCTTAAAAGCTGCACTAAGACTTCTGGGTCATGCTGTATACTTGACAGTTGTAATAATAACTAAACACATGTAAGTGGGAAATTGCTTAACACCCTCAGAAATGTCATTGTAAGTGATATTCCCTAGGACAGCTTTTCAGAAAAAGGATTTCATCTTTTTCTATTATAAGTATTTTTAAAATCCATCCTCAAGTTTTAAGACTTAAAATGACAAAAACCCCTAAAATATAATTAGCAATAAGACATGTACTCATGGCATGAATGTTTGCTTTTGTACTATGACATATTAGACTAAATTGCAAGTTTCACAAATATTCTTAAGTGCAGTAACATCTTTTGTGTAAATACCACTCTGTCAACACTTAAAATTCACAGCTAAATATGGGGTGTATCTATTATTGAAGTGCTGATGAATTTACATGAAGTTTGGCTAATATTTTCGTTGTTATCTTTACTCAGTGTGATTTTATGTATGTATGTAAGTAATGGTTTAAAAAAAAGTGAGTATCTTGGGGTGTGAGCTTGAGGCTTGTAGTGAATTCTTGGCTCTTTTTAACAGTGTAATTTTGGACAAGTTATGTAAATTTTTGATATACATCTCCTGTGATGTAAATCCCTTCCCCTTCTTTTAAGAATATTTTAGAACACTGTATGAGATAGTCCGTCTAAAAGTGTTTTTGGGAAGTTGAATACATCACTTATATATTTTATATTATATTGTATCATATCGTATCGTATTATATCATATCATATATCGTATCATATCATATTATATTATGAATCCCCTTTGTAAATTGGAAGAAATTGATCATTTTTTTAGGTGTAATAGCTACAGGTTTCTGCTTGCTTGGCAGATGCTTTCTGGATTTCATTAACAATCCCTCAAAATATTTTAAATAGTGTACCATGATTTAGAATCATGTAACAGCTTGTATAAAATATTGTCTTAATCTTAAATGGACAACCTTGTCAAACACCTTATTCAAAATGTAGTGCTATTTGATGGCTTTAAAGCTCTAGAGTTTTTCTTCCTGTCTCTTTTTCCTTCAGTTCTGGCATCAAGAATGGGATTAAGGAGAGTTCTTTTGGGCCCTTTAAGCAAACATTCGTGCTATAAGTACATGTCTTATTGCTAATGGCTATCAGGTCTAAATGGTGTTAACTGTACCGTGTACCTTGTTCTCTTACAGAGAACATTGTCCTTCCTGCCAATTGGTGATTTTAAAAAAACCAAAAAAACCAAAACTTTAATCCACCTGTGTTTTTTTTTTTTTAAGGCAGTTGGGTTAAGTGACTTGCCCAGGATCACCAGCTAGTAAGTGTCCAGTGTTTGGTCTGAGGCCAGATTTGAACTCAGGTCCTCCTGACTTCAGGGCCAGTGCTCTATCCACTGTGCCACCTAGTTGCCCCAATCTGCCTGTTCTTTAGGATAAATATAAATGAAGACTTTTATTTAGAATGTTTGCTACAGATTAAGTACTCTTAATAACTCTTTCTCTCCCTCTCTCTCTCCTCTCTCTCTCTCTCTCTCTCTCTCTCTCTCTCTCTCTCTCTCTCTCTCTCTCTCTCTCTCTCTCTT